CTACGATTCTTATTTGGATATGTCTTTCACCCGTTGTCATGTAGCATGTGTTCTGATGTAGTTAGATTTGTGAATGCCTCAATTCTCTTATCTGAGTGCTAGCTCCTTCTGCCCTGAAATTGTGTATTTTTTCATGTAGTTATCAATAATTCCTAATCAAATATATACATGGAACAGAGTCAGAAATAGTCAGGAGCAAACAGGGTTCATACAGAGTATTTGTAAATACCCGGTAAACCTTTCTCTGAGTTCTGAGAGGCAATGTCATAGCGTCCATTGGTAAATTTTTGAGTAAATCGGCAGTAGCTAAATGTGTAAACCCGTCAGGCATCTGAGGTAAGAAGTCCTGTGTGGAGTCGGACCCGGGCACTGGAGAGGGGTCGCTAAGGAGAGTCTCGCTCTGGACTCTGGCAGCAGGTTTAACGGTCAGCTGAAGTGTGGCCGCTTTCACCCAGCAGAGTCTTAAACGTGCTGTTTGACCTCTCTCGGTGTCTCCCAGAGTGCTGTGTATATAAGTTGCTCAATAAGTTTTTTTTTTTAATAACCAGAGAGGATTTTGTCAAACACAGCCCTAGAGAGAGTTTGAGGCATGTCACAGTGTTGATGCAGAAGACTGATTCACTTCAAAATCAAGAATGTTCAAGACTAATTATCGGACAACTCATGTTGGACAAGAGACTGGTTTCCATGGCAGCACAGACAAAGAAGGGGGTCCTGGGAGAGTTAAAACAGTTACTTGCTCCTCTGAGGCTTCAGGGTATCGACACATATCATTCTCACAGACTGGCTCCCTGGGAACACGGGGAGAACCCTCGTTTCTGTAGTAATCAGTGTATAGATTTTAAGGGAGCAGCAATACCACAGCACCTCTGTGCACACAGTAGGCGATGCCCTTCATACATGCATGTTTTCTCCCTGTCTGTTAGAGAAGCGGCATGTGTTTCAGTGTTTGTGTTCACTCTGATCATTCCCATGAATCACAAAGCATGCTTTCGAAGCGACATGCTAACAAAGGGACTTAGAGCCGCCATGTCTCGTTTATCCTAAAGTCTACCCCCTGCACATTCTCCAAATCCGCTTTAATAACATCAGAGCACCACTGAATGCAAAACTATCCACACAGTGCCCCGAACTGGCAGAAATGTGCCAGAGGCGTGTGTGGGGCCTGGGGAGATTCAATAGATGACATCAGTGTGTCCTAAAGCCTTTAGACCAGTGGTTCTCAACCTGTGGGTTGCGACCCCTTTGGTGGTCGAACGACGCTTTCACAGGGGTCGCCTAAGGCCATCCTGCATATCAGATATTTACATTATGATTCATAACAGTAGCAACATTACAGTTATGAAGTAACAACGAAAATAATTTTATGGTTGGGTCACAACATGAGGAACTATATTTAAAGTGCCAGAAGGTTGAGAACTACTGCTATCAGGTTTGGCTCAGTGGATACAGCGTCAGCCTGTAGACTGAAGGGTCCTGGGTTTGATTCCTGATCAAGGACATATGCCCAGGTTGCAGGCTCCATCCCCAGTAGGGGGCATGCAGGAGGCAGTTGATCAATGATGCTCTCTCATCATTGATGTTTCTATCTTTCTCTTCCTCTCTGAAATTAATAAAAATATATATATTTTAAAAAAGAGTAACTGAGGGTACAGATGACACATTAATAAATTAGCCTTAGACCCTAGGACTATTTTAAGTATTTGTAAATAGCTATGCCGGTTTTCTACACCTACGTGTACAGTGCTAATATTTTCAACCAGAGGCCTGTTTCAGGAAGATTCCTGCAAGAATAGGGCTTCCTCCGGCTGATCGCGCCGCCAAGTCTGCTGCCCAGGGCCGCACACGGGGGCCGGATGGCGGCTCGCGCTGGCCCGCCTGCCTGCAGTATGCAAATTAGCCGCCATCTTTGTTAGCAGTTAATTTGCATATCGCTCTGATTGGCTAATGGGTATAGCGAAGGTATGGTCAATTAGCATCTTTGTCTTTTATTAGATAGGATTATAACCATCTTTCTAGGATGTTTAGATCAAGTTGTTTCCTTCCTGTAATCTTCCTTGCCATCAGTCCATCTTAAGTTACAAAAGAAAACAGTTCCCCTGGACTTAGACTTCCTCCAGGGTCGGTGTGTCTGGCTGGACCTCAGCAGGTCTCAGTGGGCAGCATCATTCTGCTGCATTCAGCCCAGGTAACATGGAAACTTTCACAGATACTCACCATGCCTCTTCTCTGTATCAAGCCATACCTCCAATGTTCCCTCATCTTGATCATCGTTAATAATTAGAATATATACCAGTTAATCTGGCTTTGAGGTGTCATTTTATTTAGACCTTTTGGGGTGAATCTAAAACATATGGAAATCTAATAAATGCAAAAGGCTTATGTTTATTTTATTATTATACATTTGAATGATTTTTTAATATAAATCTCTCCTACAAGACGTCAAATTTTTGAGGTTTACCATTATATCTCAGAGCTCATCATATAGTAATTACTCAATGAAAAGTTATGAATAAGTAACTGAAATGAAAATGAACGAGTGATGAAATAATATTGTAAATCAACTCACAGTGCAGTTATTTTAATCTACAGAGAATTTTTCTTAATGGTTTTAGAAACGTTATTTTTAAGTTCACGCTTAGCTAAGACCATAAATAGATGGGTTACACAGACAGGATTCAGCTGGGTTTGAATTGGAAAGCCCGTGAAAGTCGTCATCTTCTCTTACTAGTTTCTTCTTTCTTCTCACCCTTTCATTATATCACCAACCCAACTTTTGTGCCCATATTAAATATTTTCTACGGTTATTATTTTATAAGATGTCCAATTCTAGTAGTGGTAGCATTATTTCTCCTGGACATTTTCTACCAATAATGATCATTCCCCCTTTGTTTCATTTGGACGTTATAATACTGTTGGTTAAAATTAAAACAGTCAGAGTTGTGAGGTGGAACCACAGTTAAACATAAAAAACACTTTTAGTGTCAGCAGAATGCCGTTATTTAAAATGAAGAAAACCGAAACTTTATTGCACAACTGAAGGTCACTGGCTTTCAGGAATAGATGGTGAATGGGCAAATCCTTCCATGTACCTGTCACTGGGAAGTGGTAATGTAAAATATCATGACTGATATACAAATCTTTTGAAGATTCATTGGCCTAACTACATAATTCAGTTTCCTGATATTGACTCTAATTATGGCATGTAAAACAGAATGGTGTGATACAGAAATTGAAAGTATATTTATTTGAAAGTAAAGCTGCAGATTACACAGTTGAGCAAAGGATAAAATGCCAAGTATATCCACAATTAAGTGCCATTCAATAACTTAATGCAAATCCTCCCACTTTTGTAGCATTCCTCTCAAATACCATGTTTAAAGTAGCCATCTAAGGTTTGAAAGAAATGTAATTGAGAAGTAGAATATCGCAGGGATCAGAGATATGCTTATTATGTTCAATTAAACAACAAATGAACAAATTCAGCATGATTCCTTCTTCTGCCTCCAGAACATTTATCCAAGTTCCAAGTTAACCACTTGAAGATCAGATTTTAATATTAGTGTTAAGATACCAAAGAGAATTGTAACTCTTTTTGAAAGTATTTGCACCAAATAAAAATAACCATAGATACTTTGTCCTCCTACTAAAGATAACTCTATGTGAATTTAGTCAAGTTTACTAGATAGAAGTTTCTATCAAGTAAATATTTTCATTTTTTAAATAATTTAACATTAAATTACTGTGCCAGAATTAGAACAGGGACATGTAAAATGGTTCTCAGGTCATCATTTTGGCTTTTTTGAAGAACAGCTATGACATAGTATTGATCATTAGGGATCAATATGGATACCAGGTTCTCATGAGAAATATGTTTGTTGACCTTAATAAATCTTCAAGTGTGTAAATACAGAAATATTTGTACGGGCAGTTTTCTGCTAAATTACATTTTATCTATGCACATTCTTATACCACAGTATGTTTATAATAACTTATACTAAAGGTTTGATGTAATGGCAATCACATTTTTAATTGCTTCACAATGGTTATTTTCATATCTAGTTATTTAATCACCATTATCATTATCATGATTAATCTGCTTAAGTGTTTTTGAAAACTTTTTGCTACTATAAATAATGTTGTAATGGATAAAGCTTTTTGCTTAGAATATATTCCCATCAGAGGAATTGCAAGTTTGAAAATACTTAAGGTTGTTGATAACCATATTTTTTGAAGGAGCCAGAGAAAATTTCTGTGCTAGAAATATAAAAAAGAATCAGCAGTTAAACGGAATTCATACATCTAATTTAAAATAAGAGGTCGGCCCCTATTTGCTATCAGGTAATGTTGCATAAGTTCTAAGTGGTTCTTATTAGATTGGACATATATTTACTTAGTCATAGGAGTGTTACAAAGTTCTCAACTGCATACAGACAGCAGATTTAACCTTTAATGCAGCTAAATAATACTAGTAAGAAATAACGGCTCTCATTGTGCTATTAAGGATGCTTCTAAATGCTGAGTCCTTGCCCCTGCCTTTTACTCTTTCCTTCTCTCTGTTGGGAGTGTTTTCTGGGAGTGCCACCACTCTGAAACTTTTGGATGTAAGGTTCTAAGCTCCCAACTGTCTTCAACCTATTTGAGCAGTGGGGCTTGAAGAAAGGAAAAAGGGGTGGGAAGTGGGAAGAAGGTTGCTAGGAGACGGTGTGGAGCCTTCCAGGACTGGGTCCTTCCTAAAGCATGATGGGAGGAAGTCCAGAAAAGAGTGGGGAAGGAAGGTAGACAGACTCTGCTAAATCAATGTGAAACAACAACAACAAACCGGCATCATGAAGGAAAACTATGTCATCCAGGGAGCATATTGTTGTCAGGGGAAGCATCTTTCTGGTTTTATTGTTTTTCTGGAATATATAATATACTTTTAGATCATTCAAATGATATAAATCCAAAAATAAGGTAAAATGATTTTAATGAAAAATGCCCATATGTTTGTCTTCTAGAAACTACAGGATGATTCCCTCGTAGAAAACCTACGTTTAGCTCAAGAGTATCAGCGTTTACAGATGAGTTTCCTAGCAGAGAAGGACAATTATTTCTACCAATATGATCGACAGTTATCACTTAATGCTTCAATTAGAGATAAAAGAGAGGTAGGTTTTTAATTTTTTTAAAATAATGATTTACTGGACGTATATAATATATAAAGTTACAGGTGGTCAGCCATGGGGTTTTGATTCTGATGATGGTCCTGTATATGCCACCATATGGCATGTTTTCTCTTTTTGTCGAGTTCTGTGGTCTATTTTATTAAGCCTTTGAAATTTGATTTTGAAAGGATACTCGGGAAATTTTTTTAAAAAATAGTTTCTAATCCACCATTTTATACTACTGTGCTTTAAATGATTATGACCTGGAATACCAAATTTTTATATTTCATACATTTACATATTTTATAGACTTTTCATTTCAATTCTGTCTATAGGTAATGTCCCATGAGGCATCACTAAGTCGTCCTCATGATGTATGGGCTTCAACTTTTGTTTTCTATTTTCTTTGAAATATGGGGCCTAATTAGAAACTTGGAGAAATAGTTGGCCTTCTTGGTTCCTGGAAATCACTGGGAATTCAAGTATATTCTGTAAAAATGGGAAAGGAAGACCTACAATATACCACAATGAAAAGGAGAGAGAACGCTTTATTGCTGGAGTGTTAGGTGCCCCCCATTCCTCAATACCCTTCTCCAGACTCTCATGGAGCAGAAAAATTGTTTTTCTTTGAATATTTGTTTCTTCCCAGAATTTAAATTTCAAAAATAGAGGCATGATTATTTTTTAAAAATATATTTTTATTGATTTCAGAGAGGAAGGCAGAGGGAGAGAGATAGAAACATCAATGATGAGACAGCATCATTGATCAACTGCCTCCTGCACGCCCTCCACTGGGGATCGAGCTCGCAATCTGGGCCAGTGCCCTGACCAGGAATCAAACCGTGACTTCCTGGTTCATAGGTCGAAACTCAACCACTGAGCCATACCAGTCGGGCAAGGCATAATTATTTTTTAACAGTTTATCTAGCCATAAGAACCAGTAGACTCTAAGGGATCCTATGTCTTCTTGTTGTTACCACATTACTGTACTATAAATTAGCAGTTTAAGATTGCACACCACATTTACCCCTCCTTGTTCTGGAACACTGGGAAGACAGATGGCCAGGGTTGGAGTACAAACTGCACTGATACCAGCTCAGTGATCTTGGCAAGTAATTTACCTTTCCTGACTTTAGTTTTCTCATCGGGAAAATAAGATTTACCTCAGAAGAAAATTGATTAGGAATAAAAAAGATATATCCATGGTTACTTTAATAAAGGGCTTCCATGTGAGTGTGAGTAGCTATTAAATTCACCTGGGCTGCCGCCCGTAAAGCCCCCTGTGCGTCTCATGCAGGTTCGTCCTTCCCAGTATATTGGGAGAAAGGGACTGTTTCTCTTAAGAATTTGTATTGAAGCAGTAACAGGATAAAGGCAGGTCAATGGGTAAATGTGTTTGGGAAAGAACAGAGAATACAGTTCTTTATACCCAAATCAGAGTGTCCTCAAATGGCCGTGCTGCGTTCAAAGGCAGGGTGTGTCCATGGAGCCTCTGTCCGTTCACTCCATGCATTTGACACTGTGATTGAGGTTAAACATGCTGTTTGCTGCTGGGAATTGAGGAGGAGAAAAGCAGTTGCTCCGCTGTATTTCTTTTTCTAACCAGGAGGAAAAGAAAAAAATCATGTGTGCTTGCTATCGGTTTGCATAGAATCCTTTGGTGACCAGTAAATACGTTCGCTACCTGTAGGAATAGTGAAAAATTCAAGCCTTGAAGAGAGATCGCTAACATAGTGTTTGCACAGCAAGAATAAAGTTGTCCTCATGTCACTTTGGGCTGAAAGCAAGTCTGGGTTCCAGATCCAAGGGGTGTCCAAGGAGTGAGGCCCCTGGATGAACAGACAGTGGGCAGCAAGGGGCCGGGGTTTCGGCGACGGGAGCCCTCGGGCGGACCCCTTTCAGCAGACCTGTTTCAGGGGATCTTTCAGAGATTTATCTGTGCTTCCCCTCATTCTTCATTTCCGCCCTTCAGCGGTGAGGTCATCAGGTGCAGGCTGCCCTTGTCCGCGTCACCTCAGATCAATTTGCTGCGCTGGACAGAGAGGCCTTATTGCTGCAGGGAGCCCTGTCAGTGAGAGATCGTATGTCACTGCGGCTAATGCACCGCTTACGCCATGGCATTTGGCCAACAAACCTGCAAAAACCCTTCAATATTTTAGTCCATTTCCTTGAGATTGCAATGTTTCCCATGGTTCCAATCTTTTGACCACCTTCGTTTTAGGCACACGAAAGCACTGCTCCACACTTACTCCCTTGCCAAGTAAAATGGGTCTCACTTTTAGGAATTTTTGTGTATCTTTTTCCTATTTTAGAGTAATTTCAATGCTTGCAAACATGCATTCCTTTTAGCATGGTAAATAATTATAAGTTCTTAGGGAGTACTATTCTCTCTACAAATTACACATTTTTCATATTTCTGTGGGTTTTTTTACACCAAGAGTAGCAAATAAAATGTAATAGAGGAGTAAAACAAATATGAAAATAAGAATGTTCCCTTCCTTAACACAATTTTGTATACAGGTGCCTCGAGTGTTAGAATGTTATCCTATCCCTTTTGGTGATAACATTAAGTCTGCTCCTTTGGAAAGTGCTTCTTGATATTTTCCTGCACCTTTAACATTTACAGTGATGGCTGTCTCCCCCTTTGAAAACCAGAAAGAAACAAAAACTGATTATGCAGAATTCTTGCCATGTCCATGGTTAATGACAGGATAGAACTCAGTCTAAAACTTATCAGATCTCAAAATTTAAAATAACACTAAAGAGGAAAGAAAAACAAGGTCTCAAAACAGGTTGGACTTCTATGTGAAAATAGCCATTTTCATCAAAAGCTTTCCAATAAGTATTTTATATCTACTTCCTTTTTAAAAAGTCCGTGAATATATTGGTAACATCCCCATGTGTTTGTTATACTCGCTACTTTAAGTTCTTCAAGCCTGCAAAGGGAGGTGAGCTAGGCAAGTTGACCTCTTCTGTTGGCTGAAAACAAGGTCTCTTCCAAAACTGGTTAAAATCTATTTTTAATTCTTTTATAAACCACGTGTAAAGCTCAACTTTGCCTACTGCGGTTCCCAGCGCAATCACACTAAGAGAATACAAATTATTAGAGTCAGCCAGTGCTTAACAAGCACTTATGTAGACCAGGTATCTGCGCCATGCAATTTGCAAGCATTATCTCTGTAATTTCCCTCAGTAATCCTGGAAAATGTTCTATTATTGTTATTATAATTGTCATCTCCAATGTAAGGCATGCAGCTGAGATTGAGTGTGTCATAAGGTCACCCAAGTAGAGGGCGACTGACTGAGAAGGGAAGTCTTTCATTGTATTGTTAATTATCTTGCATATATTCAAATTAGGCATTGAGTGGTGATTTTTGTGTGCTTGTGTCTGTGTAAATAGAAAACGATGTCTTTGCTAGGAAAACCATAATTTTTGAAACACTTTTTGCCAACAACAGCTACTTAAAGATCCTGTCAGCATCTCTGCCTCCCTTTCTTAGGACATAGGTGTGTGTGCACACGCACACACTCTCACACACACACATTTGTTCTAAAGGAGTTGCCCCACTTCCTAGACTGATAAGCTTGCATTCATCGCCTTCTGTCCACATCCTTGGATGGACTGACTTTCAGGAGGTCTCTGAAGAGCATCTGAACCCCTGAGCCAGGAGTAGGTGTCTGGTCATCTAGATTGTTTCACCTCAATGAGTCTCCCTTCTATTGTCGGAACTCTCAGTGTTTATTTCTAGCTAATGCTTTGGAAAGGTCAGGACCAGTTTCGAGGGAATAGTAGACTTATGTATTCTTTATGCAATTTTGGAGTTATGTAGCAAAAAGCTTTTTAATGTTAACACAGCAAACCTTAAAAGTGATGCATAGAGTGTGATGAGATCCCTAACATATCAAAGACATTCAAGGTGAATTTTTCATATAGAGACGGGAGTGGCCAAGGGGAGGGGCAGCAGGCAGTTGGGTGGGGCCTGTCAGGGCCACCGCAATGTGCTTCATAACAACCAGTAGCTACATTTCTTTCGGTTGTTGCAGAGTTCCAGTCGCTTGGCATTTTTTATGTATAGATGAATACACAAGTAGGTACAGACAGTCCTTGGGCTACATCGTCGTCCGCCCCAGCCGGTGTGGCTCAGTTGGTTGGAGCGCCCTACCATGCACCCAAGGGTCATGGGTTCAAGCCCGCAGTAGGGGCAAGTGTTGGAGGCAAACAACCAATGTTTCCCTCTCACATTGATATTTCTCTCTCCTTCTCTCCCTTTCATAACATACTAGAGGCCCGGTGCATGAATTCGTGCACTGGTAGGGTCTGGCCGGGACGGCCCCAATGGGGGCTGATTGGACCAGGCTGGCCGGGGGAGTGTGCTTTATGTTTTTTATTATTCATTTACCACAGTAAAAGTCAGGAATTGTTATATTTCTTTTAAATTTTTTTTACTGTTTCACTTCATTACTGCTGTGTATGTGCTCCATGTGAGTGACGTAGGTGCTTATGTACATGGGTTCCAACTTATGGTAAAAATTGCGTTACGTCATGCCATAGGTATTGATCTCCAACGTAACCTAAGACGTACTGTATATGTAATATTTATAAATATATATATACTAGAGGCCTGATGCACAAAATTTGTGCAAGACTAGGCCTTCATAGCCCCGGCTGCCTCACCCCTCACAGCCCTGGCTTCATCCAGAAGGTCGTCCGGATGGTCATTCTGCTGTTCGGCCATTTGGTCGATTTGCGTATTATGCTTTTATTATTATAGATATGTAAGTAATATCTGTGATTCTCCACTGAAGGCTGTTTTGTTCCCCAGGGGGTACTGTAGATATCTGGCAATTGTTGGAGACACTTTTGCTCATCACACCTGGGTAGGGTTGGGGTTAGGGTTGTGTGCAGTGCTCCTGGTATCTGATGGGTAGAGACCAGGGATGATGGTAAAAATCCTACAATGCACAGGGCAGCCCTCTCACACATACGCACACACATACACAGA